ACGAGACATAAAATTAGGCTCCATCAATGCACCAAATCAAGTTAATAAATTTCAACATCCAATGTCATTTTTCTCTAAACCCTGTCCATTTCATATGGTACATATGTTTTATACCTCATATTTAAAACACAATTCTATGAAAATTTATCGTAAGGTAGAGATTGGAACACATTTTTAAGTTTAAACTAATAATTGCAATACTTATCTAAATTTAAGGTACAAGATAATAAAATTAAAAGTTTTTGGGTAAAAATTGATTAACATGGTCAGGGCCAATTTTGATTCTTTTTCTCCAAAATTTAAAAGTTAATTTGACAATTAATGAAATCTTTATTTTAGCTCAACCTTTCTTAAGCCCATATCTAGTGTTGTTGGGCCAAAAATAAAAGGCCCACCCCAAGTATGGCCTAAAAGGCCAACTTTTTTTTTTGTTTTTGTTTTTTGACCCCAAAAGGCGAACCTATTTAGTTATTTTAGTGTATATATATTTGAAACTATTTTAAACAATTTCACGATAGAATAATGTAATGTTTATTGTTTTATTTCTCAAAATGTTTTATTTTTTATATTGTAAAAAATGTTTAAATTTTTTTTCATAAACTTAACAATAACAATTTAAAAATCCGTATTTGCTGCAATTAATCAAATCTACTCAAAACTTTTCCATCTATAATTGGTTATTAAAGATCTGTTTGGTAATGTTAATGTTTCTTGTTTCTGTTTGATTATTTTTAATAAAGAAAAATACATTTGCATAGCTCCAATACTCATGGATTCAAGAATGATAAATCTATTCTTTTTTATGATTTTGAAACAAATTGGGAATGTGATCAAGAAACTTGTCTTTGCCGTTTCCAAAATTTCTATATAATTTTGAGAATGTTTCTAGAAAATGTGAAACAAAAATTATAAATAGTTGTTAAGTTCTTTAATAAAATTAGAAACGAGAAAAAAAAACAAAAATTTTACCAAACATGTCCTTAATATTTGCTCAGCAGTCAATAAAAACATGGTTCAATACATGCCAATACGAGAGAATTACTACATATACCAAAAACCTTATTATATATGGCCATGTTTTGGCTCTATTAACTCAAAGAAACCACCAAGTAACTTGCACCATGCAAAAGAAAGATGCCTTCAATGGTGGAAAACGAATCACGAACAAACCCTACCGACGCCTCATATGAAAAACTAATTCTTGGAGGAAATGATCAAACGAGAAGTCATCTTAACATTTCTATGTTATATGAGACTTCACCTCCATGATACCATACTAAGAACAAACGACACCACGACCAAACCCATCCTCGAGTAAAAGTGGGTGAAGCAAATAACAACGACATGCTCAATCTACTTAATGATAGGGAGGGCGACGATGGGAATCTAACCCTGACAGGTTGGCACAATCTTTTGGATGACCAATATCTAGTCAAAGTCTAGCATTTGATGTCAAAATAACTGCACCACCAACACTACATGAAAACTCCTCAATGTGACGTAAAAGCAATGAACCCCTTGGTGAATCTGACATATCGTTTGCGAACACCATGGCTGTAAGAGTACCCCTGAAGTTTAAATGGCCAACTATGCAGCGATATGACGACACTAAAAATTCATGGGATCGTGTCGAAACATTCAGCGGATGGATGGATCTGTAGGGGGGCCCAGGATGAAATTATGCATCGGTCGTTCTATTTAATCTTCATAGGACCCAATAGTATTTTGTATCCATGGCTTAATGACAATCAATCACCTCATTCCAAAAATTAATATGAGCCTTTTTTACTCAATTCGTTGGTGGGCGAGAACAAAAGAGACCCACCACTATTTACACTTCGCCAATGAATAGATGAAAGTCTTGAGACTATGAGATGTGATTCAACAACGAAGCCCTCAAAGTAGATGATATAGCCTTGACAGCTATCATGGCAGAGCTCGAGACCAAAAGTCGTGATAGCTCAAATGGTATAGCCATGACAACTATCATAGTAGGGCACCAGGAACAAAAAGTCTTGTGGTCCCTAGGGGAGAAAACTTTGGTCACCTTTGATAAGTTTATCTCTCAATTACAGTGACATGCAAACGTCGGAAAACTACTCGATGTAAAGAGGATAACATCTCTTCCTAAGGTCTTCCGTTAAAGATGCACTTAGTTCTTCTGGAGGTTTTCCATGACGATATGCTGAACTTTTCTTGAGGATGCAATGAACTCTTTTTGAGGTCGGTCAAGCAGGACGACCATGCCCTCGGCCACCTCTACCATATGATAAGGTGGCCATAGGTATGCACCTCAGCCTCGAGTACCACATTTGCCGCGAGCGTTACCTCATCCTAGAGTACTACTTCGGCCTCGAGAAACACCTTGGCCTCGAGAACCACCTCGACCTCAAATATGCATCTCAGCCACGAGAATTTACCTCGGCCACGAGAATTCACAAGGCGGCCATGCCCTTGGCAAGTGCGGCCCATGAGGCCGTGCCACCTTCTCAACTCCAAGGGAGTGCGACCCCCACGATCGAGCAACCATTTTCCACACCTGGCAAACATGACTCTCGTGGCTCCACCCCCTTGTGGCCACTCAAACAATGTAAAATGCATGAATGTTGAATTGAGTAGAGGTATTGCAATGACGTGAATCACGTCCATATAAATAGTGGTGCGACCCACACATCTGCACAATCCCATCTCCAAAACCAAATATACTGGGCTAAAGAATCACTTCTCATCCGGAAGCCCCTCTTTTAAGTAAGAAGTGATAGAGACGGCTCACACTCAGGAGTGAAGGCTGCTGTTAGGGGTATGACTCGGAATGCACGACCCCATGCTTTAGGTGCAACCAACATGGTCGCACCTTCTCCAAGGAATGAGCGAGGCCTTCATGGCCGTGCCTCCTCCCATAGTGACCCCCTTGCACGGTCTATGTCACCTACATAGCTTAAGTGATTGCGCCCTCTCCGCAATTAGCATGTCACATCCAAGACACGGGTCCAACTCATGCACCAGTGCCGTGGTATCACCACCTTGCACTACTGCAGCTCTTGCCCGCTTGAGAGTGACACCGCACCATGACGTCACATGCAGGCTTGCTCCCCAACTTTACTTGGAGAGGTAAGCCAAAGAACCTCTAAAAATATAGAGGTTTCGAAGCCATTTGAAATAAGTTATTACTATCTCTCAACTAGATAAACTCAAACAATTTCTTTCCCAATACTTGATACTAACTTAAGCATCGGAGTGTATGCTGGCACCTCATCGATATTAGCTCACCCTTTCTTTGTGCAAATCGTCTTCGATTCAGCTGTACGAGTCAAGATTTTGTCTTTTCCCCATTCACAACCTATAGGGTCAAATTCGAAACACTCGGTTCAATTAACCTCGTCTTTTTACATTTTAACAGTGGACATGAAAAGGTTCTTTGTTCGCCACGGCGCCACCATCACCATCATCGTCACCGACTCCAAGGCTCGCTCTTTCCAAAGCGACGTCACCTGTGACTTCTCCTCTGCTCCAACATTCGGACCCGTGCAATCCCATTTGTCATTGCCAAAGTCGGCCTCCCTCCGGGCATCGAGAACTTCAGCGATGTCATTTCGAGCGACCTCAAAGGAAAAATCTACTAAGCCTTCCAAATTCTACACAAACTAATCGATCACGTTCATTGAACTACTATTTTAAATTAATGGGTCGCTCTAAATTTGTTTAATTTTGGTTCAATGTATTCCCACCTTTGTTGTACTAAAAAAACACAAAAAAAAAAAAAACTCACTAATTTAATAAATATCAAGTTTGATTGTTGCACAAAATCCAATATTAAATAACTACACCAAAAATTAAAAAAAAAATTAATTAAAAAACCAAATCTAATGTCGTTTTTTGTTCAAATCCTATCAATTTGATACTATATATTCGGATGAGTTACAAATTTATATGGAAGAGTTTTAGTGTGTAGAATTTGTGTTAATAACTATATGAAAGAACTAGGAACTAGTGTGCGTAGGCACAAGAGGCACAAGAAATAAAGATAAGAACTATGACCGAATAAGGAAAATACACCTGTTACATTTTTTCTTTTTAAACTATTAAACTATATTCATGTTGACATTTAAATATTAGAGAAAGTATCAAACCATATAAATATATTGACAAGGTATATCAATTTTAACATTAAATATTTTATATACATTTTGTTGCAATTAGTGAATTCGAGGACTTTTACCTAAATTTTGTTAAAATTAGTATTTTTTTTTAACAGTTAAATTTAGTATTGAATATAGATAAAAATTGAATGAAAGATAAAAGTGCAATGCTTGTTTAAGTCTAAAGTTTAATTAGAAGAAATTGCTAAGTATTAGGAAAAAAATTGATACAACACCTATAGAAATGAATTGTTTTTGTTAAATATTATATTAATTAACCGTCATTATAGTATAATCAAACTGAACAAAGTTCAAGTGGTTAAGGTAGCGTGGTATAAAAAATAAAAATAAAAAACAGTTATTATAGTATAATAATATCAAGTTCATTGGATAGGCGGCACGTGACAGCCAGGAAAATAAGTCACGTGTTTAGAAACATGTCACGTTTTTCATGTGACCAAAATTGACTTCAGCAGCATATGCTTATTATATTATATGTTGTCTGTAAATTGTAATCATGTTTAAAAAAATATATATTTTTTATTTGTTTAAATATCATTTTCGTTTTTCTCAAAAAAGAAAAATTAATAAAAAAATAATTATCGTGATCGAACTTTGAGTTTACAAAATGTAAATTTAAGTCCTTATTTTAGTTCAAGCTCCAAAATCTGAATCCAGATTCAAACCGCCGGCCATCTTCTCCGGCGACCATCGGAGATTCGAAAGTAAGAAATCATGGTACTGGAAAATGAAGAGCTCCGAATCACTGTTCTTCCTCTGTTCGCCTCCGGCCACATCATTCCGATCGTGGACATGGCGCGGCTCTTCGCCCGCCACGGTGCCGCCGTCACCATCATCACCACCGAATCCAACGCCCGCTCCTTCCAAAACGACGTCGCCCGTGACTTCGCCGCCGGCTACAAAATCCAGACCCGCACCGTCCCGTTCCCCGCCGCCGAAGTAGGCCTTCCTCCGGGCATCGAGAACTTCAGCGACGTCGTTTCGCGCGACCTCCAAGGCAAAATCTACCGAGCCTTTCTAATCCTCGAAAAACAGATCGATCAGGTTCATTAATTAAACTACTGTTTTAAATTAATGGGTCGCTCTGAATTTGTTTAATTACGGTTTAAATCTCATTTGGGTCACAGGTAATCATTCCAGAAACACGGCCGGATTGCATTTTGAGCGATCTCTCCTACGGATGGACCACCGACACGGCGGCGCGGCTCGGCGTTCCCCGGTTGGTGTTCTTCGTCTCCAATTTCATGGCCTACTCTGCCGAGCACTCTGTTCTCCAGCACGCCCCTCACCAAAAAGTAACATCCGATTTTGAAACATTTGAGCTCCCGGGGCTACCCCACAAGATCCAAATGACAAAATCGCAGCAGCCGGAATTTCTAGTCCAGCGAAGCCAATTCACGGAGATGATAGAGAAATACAAAGAAGCAGAGAGGAGGAGCTACGGAATCGTAACGAACACATTCTACGAACTTGATGGGGTTTATTTAGAGCATTACAAGAGAACAATTGGGATAAAGGCGTGGGGATTAGGGCCGGTTTCATTGGCCGTGAATAAGGATTTGATCGGAAAAATCGACAGGGGAAACAAATCGGGGATGGAGAGTGGGGAGTTATTGGATTGGTTGAACTCGAAGGAGCCGAATTCGGTTCTGTATGTGAGTTTCGGGAGCATGACGCGGTTTCCGGCGGCGCAGATTGCGGAAATCGCCCACGGGCTGGAGTCCGCCGGCCGGAATTTCATATGGGTGATTCGGAAGAAGAACGAAAACGAAGGGGGAGAGGCGGAGGAGGGGCTGCCGGAGGGGTTTGAAGAGAGGGTGGTTAGAGAGAAGAAGAAGGGGTTGATTGTTCGGATTTGGGCGCCGCAGCTTTTGATTTTGGAGCACCCGTCGACGGGGGGTTTTCTGACGCACTGTGGGTGGAATTCGTCGATCGAGGGGGTCAGCACCGGGCAGCCGATGGTGACGTGGCCGGTGAGTTCAGAGCAGTTTTATAACGAGAAGCTGTTGACGGAGGTGCTGAGGGTGGGGGTTCCGGTGGGGGCGAGGCGGTGGTGGAATATGAGCGATGAGATGGAGGAAGAGGATATTGTGGGGAGGGAGGAGGTGGCGGCGGCGGTGGGGTTTTTGATGGGGGAGGCGGAGGAGGCGGCGGCGATACGGAGGCGGGCTAAGGAGCTCGGAGCGGCGGCGAAAAGGGCCGTAAGTGAAGGGGGCTCGTCCGAGAAGAATGTCGTGTCGGTGATTGAAGAGCTGAGGTCCTTAAAAAGGTAATGCGCGGCAGTAGAAGAGAGACCGAAGCAATGTAATTTTTATTTTTTATTTTTTTTTTGCTTGGGGGATTTAATTTTTTATCCTATTTGATTCAACTCTGTTGTTACTTTTTTTTTCAACTATGGGACGAGTTCGAACTCATGATCTTTTGGTCAAAGATAAGTGCTTTAACCACTTGAGTTATGCTCGGTTTGGCAAATCTGTTCTTACTTACTTAAAAACTTGGGTGGTATGTTTAGAATTGGAATAATATGGTAGATGATTTTCAATATAGTTAAATATATAAGAAAAAAGTTTAAAGTGTATTTTAGATTTCGATCATGTTAAAAAGTTTAAGTTTTAATATATATACATATATTTGAGCCATCGGTCGGTCGGGTCGGTTTTTAGGCCGAAATCCCAACCGACAGACCGCTTAAATAAGATATAACCGACCGACGAAATGATCAGTTCGGTCGATCGGTTTTCGACAAAACCGACTATTATTTTTTAATATCAGTGTGTGAACTGTGTGCAAAATCCGAGAGGTGGACCGACGGCTGTAGGTCTGGGTCGCGACGGGGGTTGCATCTCAGCAATGCCTGGGTCACGGTGTAAAGTGACTGATGGACGACGGGTTTTTGAGCGACAGAGATGGACGGCGTCACGGCGGCAAGGGCGATGCGACAGAGGAGATGGTGAGTGTGAGTCGTTTGTGGGCGATGCGGCGACGAGGCAGTGGCTGGAAGAGTGTGGATAAGGGAGAGAGATGGAAGGAAGGAGAGGCTAACCCTAATTTTATTATACAAGAAGATGAGTTAAAAAGAAAAATATATGAAATGAGAATATGGAAGTAGAAAAATAAGAGAGGAAGAAGATGAAAAGAAGAAGAAATGAAGAAGAAAGAACGGCAGTAAAGTGAAGAGAGAAGGGTGAGAGGAAGATTTTGAGAAATGGGAAGAAAGAGGAAGAGATAATAAATGAAAATGTCAGTGATATTGGAGAATGGAGATGAGGGAGGAAAGAGAAATAAATAAATAGAGGGTTGTATGGTTTCGAGAAAACCATGGGCTCCTAGATTTTTCTTCAAACCATCTCGAGTAACGCACCATCTTCCTTAATATACATTTATAAAAATGAAAAAGTCGGTTGATCGGTTGGTTTTCTTATTGATTCCAGGGGCGGCGGCGTTCTTGAATGAAGTCGAGACGAACCGAATTAGCACTTCTCAGATCAGGCTAGGCCTCTCCAGCGAAGCTGGGCGTCGGGGCCCTGGATGCGCTAGCGATCAGCACATAGGGGAGTGGTTGCCCGAGTTTCTCGGCCTGGTAGCCTGGTATCCTGCACCTCGCGTTCATGATATCTACATTCAACTGTGCCCCGGAGACACGGTCGAAGCACGCCCAGTGTGCTTCTTTCWCGACATGCTCTGGTCCCGGGTGTCTTCCATGGTCGGTCGGTTTTTCTTCTTCTGAAACCACCGACCGACCAACTGGTCGATTTTATAAAAGGCAAAACCGACTCCGACCGACCGAAACCGACCGACACGGTTCCATTGGTTTCGATCGGTCGGAGCGGTTTTTCGGTGCATGGTGAACACCCCTAACCATCTGGGTTGATTAAAGCTAGTACTTATAAATAAATAGATGAATATTAAGTATAATATAATAGCAATAATCAAGATTATTGTTTTTGGAAACTTCAAGGATTAAAATAGTGTTTTTCTTTTTTTGAAAAAAAATTGAGAGACCAAAATAAGCATTCTAAAAATTCTAATCAAAATAAAGTAAAATTAAAAGTTTAGAGACCCCAATAAGATTTAAACCTAAATATTATTATATACTAAAAAATAATTATATGACAACTTTATAAAAATATATATATTTTTTAGAATATAACATCACTTGGACGGAGTTTTGAATTTTCATTCTACTATATAAAACGTTATCGATGCCTTAATCGTGAGATGAAAGAAATATTATGCAAATATGTTTATCACTTATCAGAATTTTCTTTTGGGTAAATAATGAAGTTATTTCTCATACATTTACTTAATGCATATTTCTCTTTTCTTGGAATTGATTTTAGGAACAATTTATATGGTGTTATTAAACTATTATGAATATCACCAACAAATTATATGAAGTTATTCAATTTTTTTCCTATACATTCGTATAATTTATATTATTGCAGTAGTGCTTTTCGTTTTTAACTTGATATAAGTTACCACAACACCTTTCTTTTACAGCACACTTTTCTCTCGTGATACATTTTACTAAGAGATCAGAAGCAAAGAAACCAATCGATATCCAAACGTCACGAGATGCAGTGAAGATTTAGGCTGGGACTCGACAACAGACGTCGTAGATGTCATCTAATGGAGCGTGATCGCCGGTACCTTCATCTTTTCGAGCATACAACAGTTGCTTGCCCTTAAAGACAAACATCCCTCCCTAACAGAACACACATGGAAATGAGAGTATTGTCCATAAACTGAAGACTGATAAATTACTTTAGAACACGAAAACGACCTGTTGCAATACCCCACTTCTATCATCTGGGGTTGCATCGATACTATAGTTTTTCGTAGCTTCTCGCAAAGCATCGAATCTTGACTTCGAGAGTACCTTGGCCTAAAAACATTCAAACTTTGAAGACGTCTACAGAGTAAAGATGAAAATAAATACTAGTAAATGATTGTAAAGTAGATGGAAGGGGGAAATTTTTACACTAGCTGGATTAAAGAATGTACGACCAAAGCCATAGTACAGACCCAGTAGATCATAGGCCTGAAAGAACATATTATGATTAGCTTTCATAATAATCACAATAGCCTAGCCTAAGAAGCACGACAACTCAGTTTGGGCAATGTGTTCGTGTCAGACACTCTGACACCTATTTGACACCTATTAGACACATATCACATACTTGTTAACTCAATAGATATGTGTCACATGCTAGTTGTACAAAGTGAATATGGATCCGACACTTGTTGGCATGTATCGAACACTTGTTAAGTAAAAGAAATAGACATAAATAGTAATATAGGACAAAGTAATAAATTTTGAGAGCAAAATAATCAAACTCATCTTTTACAGCACAAAAATTGCATACCTTATGGGCTTTGAATTTCTAAAAGAATTGTATGCTTCAATTAATGTGTCCTTGTCATGTCCGTATCTTACATGACATGTCACCGTGTTCATATCGTATCTATGTTTCGTGTTAGTATCCCAAAGGGTCAAAAGACAAACTGAAATGATTCCATAGATATATACATTACCTTCCTCTCAGGATCGGCATATAGGCAATCCATTGGAAAAGGCAACTGGGATTTGGAAGATTAAGACAATTGAAAACAGCATGGTTATTATTACATAAAATGAGAATAGGAAATGCAGCCACAAATGTTAATGTGATAGTAGTTTCAAAGAAGAAAAACGTTACCCGGTCTGCTAGGATGCGTGCTTTATTTGGAGTACCGACGCCTATGGCTATTAGTTTCACACCAGATGAGTCAAATCTTGCTTTGGATTCTTTTAAAGTGGAAGCAAGTTCCCAACTAGAAATATAAAAACAAATAATTGGCAAGTTGCTAAGAAAAAATACAAAATCACAATCCAAGTTGATGAATTACCAACAAGGGCATCCAAAATGCCTCAAAAGTGCAACAACAGCCATACCCTGGAGGTAAACACAAATTAAATATCATTTTAGAATATTACATGAAAAATAAGTCGAGATATCAGATATGTCCCGATGTCTAAGCCTAACAACTTGAGCATAGCTCAAGTTGACATAAGATATCAATATATAACAAAAATTAATAAATATAATACTGTTTTGCTTGTTAGATATGTAATATGTTAGTCCCCAAGGCCAAGTAATTGTTTCCAGAAATTTATCCAAGATCTAGAAGAAGAATTACACGTAATTTGGAAAATCCATGTAACGAAGACCAAATTTGGAGTTGATAAATAAAGTTGAGTCAATCTTTTGGTAGTTTCCCCGGTCCAAAAGTACATATAAATTCAAATATCCATTTAACAAAGCAAATGGGAGTCTAACATATTCTTTAAAATTCAGCATTACACAATCTTATGCAAGGTCCTTGTACATAGATCACTGATGATATGGAAAATCTTTCAACAATTTGTTCACATCATTGATGATATGGAAAATCTTTCAACAATCTATCTTGGGAAATAACAGGTTGCTCAGTCATCGAACTGAGGGTGTGAATGATTCAATTCAGACAAAATATAAATGACAAGAAACTTTCACACCTTTTCTTAAGGCGTGGAAAGAATAAACCATGTAAGGAGAGAGTGAGGAAAGAACAGAGATGGCCTAAGACCTATATTAGGAGATCAAAAAAGGTGTAAAAATGCTCCAAAAAAATGAACAACACCAAGAACATATTACTACCACAGAAAATGTCAGGGGAATTAACCAGAGACAAAGAAATCGAGATTGCAGAAAAAATTGCAGTAGAGGAATTTCACGACTCTAGTGAGGAAGAACACATGGAATATATAATTTTGATAAACAAGGAAATTAGAGGCATGTGAGGTGATATAAACCTTTTGAGTTTTTAAACAATAAAATGAAGTAAACTTACTTGATTTAATTTAGATGAAACGGGAAGTCTGTAAGCAAGAATACTCAAATTAGTGGTCTTAAAAACTAAAAAGGAGTAGGTTCAGCTAGTTGGGATCAGCTAATTGGGCAGTCCAGGCAGAAAATGAAAAAGCTTATGAGGGGAAAGATTCCCAATCAACTATGAACAATTAATATATGAGATTTCCAGAAAATTTCCCAAGGGATATAAAACCAATAAGTGACTAGATGAAAGAATTCTGTAGGCCAAGCACACAAAACAACCAGCAGAGGAGACAATATCATCAAATTGCGAGGTATAAACAAGGACTCTATCCTGTAACTCAAGACACAGTAGATCTAAATCTTGTTGGGAACTTTAAAATCTCAACGTTTCAACATGTCTTTTTAATCTAAGATGAATTAGGGGAAAATTGCTGCCTCTTTCCTTCTATGATCCACCCCTGCACCAATGAACAACGGGGCCAACCAAAAACCATAGACGGGGGATGGAAATCAAATCTTTGAACAATGTCCATGGTGTTGATCCTCTCCAGAGAAACCAACCAAGAGACAGAAAACTAATTTTCTTAGGGTTTTTAGCCTAACCGAGATTGGCAAATAAGGAATAACTGGAAAAGGTGGGATGGGGCATCAAATGGGCAAGAAGAGACTTGGTTTACTCCAAGTTATCCAGAATAACAATAAAGAATCCTGCACAGAAATACTCAATTTGCAAAATTTTCACGTAATCTTAATTCTTAAGTGCAGAGTTGATTTCATCCCTAGTTTTCCATTTTTCTGCTACTATGTAGACAGATTTTACCTCTTTCTGATCCCAGAGGTCCTTGAACAAAACATGCTCACCGGCCGCAGTAAAAATGCGAACATCACCGAGAATCTCCGCGATCTCTTCGCCGCCGTACCCAGAAGTAGCGGAAGCCTTCGCAACGACACGGGGCCGGAAACCACCGCGGGAATCGCCATTACTGGTTGCTAATTCGGCGAAATGGGGAGCAGGAGCATAGGGCATGAGAAACGGAGATGGTGGAAATTGGGAAGGGGGGTTGAAGGAGGGAATCGAAAGAGAAGGGCATCCACGGGGAATTTGGGTCTGCGCAGAAATCAAATTCATTGCGAGAGAAATCGTAGAACCCAAAATTCAGGATCAATGAGAGCTGTGACTGGAAGTACGAACTCTGAAGTTGGAAGATTTCTAAGAGCTTCTTTCGTACGTGGTGCATACAACACCTCCCAATTTCACATTTCTTCTCAATCCAACTCTGAATCGGGAAAAATTCACTCTTCCTTATGACTCAACTCTGGTCTCTGAGCGACTTATGCCGACGTGGTCTAAAAACATCGGCAGAAATCAATGAAGTCGACGTTTTATCAAAATGTCTGGGAAATTTGAAAATTTCACCCGATTACTATGTTTCAAAATCATCTCTCCCTCCACAAATCTCTTTATAAATTTGTATTCCCTCCACAAATATCTCACAATAATTAATTACAATTCAAAAAAATCTAACTTTTAAGAAAAATATCTAACTCAAATAGTAAATTAAAAGTTTAATATGGAAAAAATAAAAAACGTACATAATTAAATAATTTGTACGAATTTAATTACAAAAAAGTCAAGATTACAAAAATCTCGACACAATATTGCATTAGATGCTAGAGATTTAATTGATAACAATAGGGTCAAGAGGAGGGAGAATGCAAAATAATAATAATAATAATAAAACTGGAATTGGGATCCCGGACCGGGATTGGAGGATCATTTATGAAACCTTAATTTTTTTTTGTAATTAATTCCCGACAAATCTTATGCATTTACAAATCTTTTTTCACCCTAATTTACTTATTAGATAATTTAATTTACAGATTTTTTTTGTGTGGATTCGTTTGTTAAGTAATAAATTAATCTATATTAGATTCAAAATTTTAAAAAAATGGTAAGGGTTGGGAGAAGAGATTGGTGGATAATTTTACTTAAAATAAACAAGGATATTTTGATAATTTTACAAAGACAAAAAGTGGAAATGGGTCCCAAATTATAACAGTAGGGTCACAAATTAGGTTTTTTTAAAAACGAGTCAAAAATCCAGATGAGTTATATAATGAGGTTAGAAACCCCAATTTCCCAAAATGTCGGGAGTTTTAGTTTAAAATGCTCTAGACCTCTTGATTTTTCTAGACTTCGTGCCACGGTTTAGAAACGTTGTTGTTTCTCGTTTCTGTTTAGTTGAGAGAGTTTTCAATTTTGGACCCAGACAAATTGTTTAAGTGGATTTAAATTTATTTAAATTTAAATATTAATCCATCTGATCTCATGGTAAATTGAATTTTGGGTGAACAAAATTGATTCCAAGCTCAGTTCTCATATGACCCAATTACATATTTTAATTGTCAATTTATCTTTAATTTAATTTAGGGTTAATATATAATAAATCCATAAATAAAATAGATAATGACGTTGTCGACCCAAAATTTATGATTTGGTTTCAACCTCCAAATTCAAATATGATAAAATGATATTTTTATTTATGTTTTGGAACAAATTGAAAATGGGAACAAGAAAAAAGAAACTTGTTTTGATTGTTCATAAAAATTCTATACAATTGTGATAACGTTCCGAAAAAAGATAAATAAGAAACAAAGTTAGTTGTAAAATACTTAAGTTTTTTAAGAAAATTGGAAACGTGAACGACGGTCCTTACTGTTCAATTTGTGCACTGATTTTGTGTTATGGGATTATACAGCACTCATTTATTTTGTGTTTTAAAGGTTATAGTTGTCTAGAAGCTTAGAACCTATGGCGTTATGTGTTTCTAGGTCTGAATCTAATTCACAATTTTGTTTTTCTTCCTTTTTCCTTTATTATCTTTGAAAGTGTAAGGTATACTCTTTATTTTTGAAACACTATCTATCATTATTCCCGGTGTTACTTAGTGAAGCTATTATTTTAGTAGTTATAGCTGGTAGAAGGAATAATTGTATCGTTGGGAAAATAGAAGATTTTTAATTTGGAGTCTTTTTGTAGGTGAGATTTTGATTTTTGTGTTTGTAGTTTGATATTTGGATATGTTTGAAGTAGGTTGTATTAATTTATGCACTTTTGGGTAGAGCTTCTAGCTAAAAAAGTTTCGATAGGTGGTTTTAATTTAAATTATGAAGTGCTTGTTTGGTAACGTTCATGTTTCTGATTTTTATTTCTTTATTTTCAATGAAGAAAAATATGTTGCATGGTTTTAACCTCCAAGAATTTAAGTAGGATAAAATAATGTTTTTTATTCATGTTTTGGAATAAATTGGAATGAGAACAAGAAAGAGAGAACTTGTTTTGATTGTTCTCAAAATTTCTATACACCCAAAAAATGAGAAACAATAAACAAAGTTAGTTCTAAAATATTTAGATTTCTTCAGAAAATTGGAAACGAGAAACAAGGAATGAGAACGTTATCAAATGGACACATAGTTAGTTGCACAAATTCTTATATTTCTTAAGAAAATTAGAACCGAAAACAAGAAATGGGAAAGTTACCAAATAAACCCTTATTGGCTTGTTGCATGCGACTATTATTTTTATCTATATCTATATCTATACTATATTAAAAATAGAGGATGTAGGAAAAATATTTTTGGACACTTTTGTCCGTTACTAATTTTACTAATTTACAAAATAAACTATTAATATATTATTATAAATATTAAATTAATTATTAATTATTAATTATCAATACTAATAAATGGATAGAATTTAAAATGTTATAATGCAAAAAGTTTTCCAACAACATAAAATAGATTTTTTCTTTAATTATAATTTATACTAGAATTTCAATAGTCGTAGAATTTCAAAGTTTTTATAACTTTTTATCCTCTATTACTATAAAAATAGGCTTTCTTCCACCATATTTTCTACGACAGTTAGAGTTTCACTACTTGTTTATTCTTAGTTCTATCAAAACATCTCTCAAAGGTTATTCAATCTTCGTAATTTCTTGAGATGTTGATGGCATATTTATCAAATTGCAAGAGAGGTATATTCGTCAAGTTACAAGGGATGCATGTGTCGAATACAATTTAGTATATAATTTATAAATCAAACTAACGTATGTTAGGTTGGCTTACACCTCGAGCCCCCATTCGCCCCTTCCAAGTTTGAATTCTAGTAAGTGCATCTTCTTTTTATTTTTTATTTTTTATTTCCTCGATCTTATTTCTTTTAATAAATTTAAGTTCGTAACCCTAAACTTAGATAAATGTAATACTTTTTATCTCTCTACTAAATTGATGTTAGTTCATCTGTTAAGTTTAAAAAATCTATTTTCTTAAAAAAAAGGTTTAAAAAATCTAAAAAACTTACTAATTTAACAAAAATCATTCTTAAATTAAGTTTAATTAATGTACAAAATCTAATGTCAAACAATTCAGCCAAAATTTTTAAATTTAGAACAACTCTAATGTCGATTTTGTCTAAATCATTTCAATTATTTTTATAACAAAACATAAGTGTTTTCTAATTCATTTGACTCATGAGATTATTTTTTCAACAAATTTTAAAATGAAAATCTATGGAATGGTAAATTTTGTGACATATTTTAAAATTTAAGGTGAAAATTACAACATTATCCAATTGTAAGATGAAAATCGTCGCAGATTGCCAAATTTATAAAGGGTCACACATTTGTGCTCCTCTTGACATAAAATCTTGGATTTGCCATTGAGATCCATTCCAAGCTCATGTTCTTATTGTTGAAAAAAGAATATATCAGGTAAGTTAATACACCAAAATGTGTTAATTAATTAAATATTAAATTAATAAAATAATTATCAACAATAACCGAGTATGAATCTTAAAAGGTGAGATATAAACTTTTGTTCATTTCATAATAATGTAATTTAAAGAAATTTTCTTTAATAAATTTAATTATAATATTATATTAAATCAATAAATTAATTTGATCTCAGGTTAAAAAGTTAAATAAATAATAAAAGGTTAGCTGTAAAAATCGTGAGACTATTTGATAAACAATTATTTTGAAAAATAAAGGGTCCATATTAGACAAAATAACATAAAATAATTATTTATTTTTTTAATTAATATATTAAAAATAATGATGTAACCTAAAATTCATTAAAAAGTGGTTTTAGATAATTAATTTAAGATATTTTATATATTTTAATTTTGAACATATTTTATTATTTTTAATCTCATATTTTTATAATTTACTAATTATTTATAATAAAATAAATTTATCAATTTGTAATATATAAGTTGAGTTTTTATCTTTATAAATTTAAAGTACATATTAATTTTATTACTATGATATAAAATAAAGTAAAAGAAAAAAAATGTATGGGTTAAGAGTTAGAATATGAAAATTTTATTTACCTAAATTAATTTAATAATTATATTATATTTAATATAAGGAACAAGAATCTTAAAATCTAAAAATACAAAAAGCCTTAAAATCTTAAAAGAATTATAATTTATCTGAAATTTATTTCAATAATATGAATTTGAACTTAAAAAGTTTTACAATTTATTTACTTAAAAATTTATAGATTTATTTTTAGTCATAATCAGTCATAAAATTTTAATTAAGTTAGAATTTTAAAAATTTTTATAACTCTATCTCATCCTCTTGCTATAAAAAGAGTTGTTCAACCATTTTTACGGGTAATATTAGTTTTATTTTTTACTTTCGACTATATTGTGAATTATTTATTTAAGATGTTATAATTCAATTTTAAAGTTACGTGTTTGTCTTGCAATTATCACATAGGAGATAAATATATTTTACATTATATATATATATATATATATATATATTATATTATATTATATTTGGAAGAAGTTTGATACATCTTAATTTTCTTGTTTGTTTGTCTTTATTTACAATTAGTGATATTTATTTACACTTAAATTAAAAATGTTTCGTGCATTTGCAGGCACGAGTTTGTGTGTTATTAAGACTTTATTCAGAATTTTGCTTATGATAATTAGAAAGAAAAAAAAAATTGTCCCTAAGCAAATTACTTCTGCACAAAATGGTCAGTTCCTAGGAGTATAATTGTTTAAGGGAAAATCTTAAATACAAAATGAATTTTTAAAAATTAAAATTTCAAAAGTTTCATCTTCTCATATATATTATTGAAAATAATTTTTATCTTCCTTAAATTTGAGACATGGGACTAGAAGGTGCATCATCTTAAAATTACATTTAAAAGTTATCGACTCAAATTCTCATAAAATTGGGACTCATTTTGTCATCCTAAAGAATGACGACTTAGATTTGAGCCTAGATTTGCGAAATACAAACCAAAAAATAAGAGGATCAGATATAATAAAGATACGATAATCGTGCAGCCGAACAACTATCCCAAACAAAACCCTAATTCGAGAGCATATAAAAGAAACTTATAATCTCTAGTGGAAGATAGCCTAGACTTAAGGGTGTTCAAAAAAACCCGATAAGTCGAAGAACCCAACCCAATGGGTTCTAATTTTAAAGAACCAACCGGTTCGGTTCGGTTCCCGAGTTAAGAGGAAATTTTTTTTATTTAACCCGAACCGAACCAAATTTATTCACACACATATATATGTGTATTATCTTTCTAGGGTTAGGGTATTCATCCCATCTCTCTCAATCTCGCCGTCTCGATTCGTTGTTCGCCGCCGTTCATTGACTAGAGTAGTAAACCTTGGAGAGATCATTAACGAAAGGCACAAAACAAGATGCAGATCTTCGTGAAAACCCTTACTGGGAAGACGATTACGTTGGAAGTTGAGTCCAGCGACACCATCGACAATGTCAAAGCTAAAATCCAGGACAAGGAAGGTTCGACTTTT